TTTTTGCTCAGGTCTATTGCATTTTGACTATCACAATACACTACATACTCCTTTTGATACAATCCAAGCTCTCAAAGGAACCATTTCAGCCATACCATCTCCTTGCCAGCTTCAATAGCGGCAATATACTATGCTTCACTTATAGTGAATGCGACACACTTTTACAACTTCGACTGCCATAATATAGCTCCACCTGAAAATGTGAACAAGTATCCAGCAATAGATTTACGTTAATCAAGATGACTTGCCATATCAGCATCCGTGTAACCCTTCAAGATTGGATTAGATCCTCCAAAACACAACCAGTCGCTAGAGGTACCTCTCAGGTACCTGAGTATCCACTTAACTGCTTCTTGGTATTTTTTTCCAAGATTTTCAAGGAACCTTCTAACAACACCAAGTGCATGAGCAATATCTGGTCTAGTGCATAACATTGCATACATCAAGCTTCCGACTGCTAAAGAATAATGAACTCTATCCATGTTCCCTTTCTCCTCCATTGTTGTAGGACAAATCTTCTTGCTCATCTTTAGATGACTAGCTGGTTTAGCACTTTTCATGTTGAAGCGTTCCAGTACACGTTCAATATACTTCTCCTGAGATAGCCTGCTTGTTCTCTCTCGAACTATCTTCATCCCCAGAATTTGTTGTACTGGGCCCAACTCCTTCATATCAAATGACTTGGACAGATCTCTCTTCAACTTTGTAATTAGCTCCTTATCTTGTCCTACAATCAACATGCCATCAACATACAACAATAATATAATAAAGATTTTATCAGAAATTCTTTTGAAATACACACATGATCGGAATCGGTCTTTATGGTTTGACTTTTCATGAATGAGTCAAACTTCATGTACCACTGCCTTGTGCCTGCTTCAACCCATAATGACTTCAATTTTCACACCATGTGTTTCTTTTCAGCTACTTCATATCCTTCTGGCTGCTCCATATAAATCTCTTCTTCCAAATCTCGGTGAAGAAATGCAGTTTTCACGTCCAACTGCTCCACTTCAAGATCTAGGCTAGCTGCTAAGCTCAAAATTGTTCGAACAGAAGTCATTTCGACAATAGGTGAGAAAATTTCAACAAAATCAATACCTTTCTTCTGTTCGAAGCCTTTTACCACCAATCGAGCTTTGTATCGAACCAGCTTGCCATTTCCATCTTTCTTCAGTTTAAAGACCCACTTTTATTTGAGTGGTGTTTTACCCTTTGGAAGTTCAACCATCTTGTACGTGCCATTTTTCTGTAGAGATTCCATCTCTTTTTGCATGGCTTTCATCCATTGGTAATTTTCTGGATGGGACAACACCTCTTTAAGTTTACTGGCCCCCCCTCATCATGGATGAGGACATATTGTGCGAAAGGGTACCTGCATGACTCTACCCTTGGCCTTTCTGATCTCCTTAGGGGTTGAGGTTGTTCTTCTTCCGGAGTAGGGTACTCCACTTGCTCGACATTATCATCAAGTTGCTCCCCCCTACTTAATAACCTCACCATGTTGCTCCCGCTGCTCGGAAACCTCGTCGGCCATACTTTCTGCACTTATGAGATAGTTAGAATTAGAAGGAATGGTAACAAGGTTAGGAATTATACCATTCTTGGCCTTCTCTGACTGATTATCTACCACTCCAACTTCACTTTCTCGAAAGATTATATCTCTGCTTCTGATGACCTTCTTCTTTACAAGATCCCACAATATGTATCCAAACTCTTCGTCTCCATATCCGATGAATATGCAGGGAACAGAATTATCATCCAGCTTTGTTCTCTACTCCTTTGGTAAATGTGCAAAAGCTCTGCAACTGAACACCTTCATATGTGAGTAGGACACCTCCTTGTTGGTCCAAACTCTCACTGGGATGTCAGACTTCAACCGAACTGATGGACTCCTATTGATCAGGTAACATGTTGTCTGAACTGTTTCACCCCAGAATGACTTGGGCAATTTAGCCATTCTGAGCATGCTTCTAACCTTCTTAATAATACTGAGGTTCATCCTCTCAGCTATACCATTGTGTTGTGGGGTTCCAGGAACTGTCTTTTCATGTCTGATCCCATGGCTCGAACAATACTCTTCAAATTTCCTTGAAGTGTATTCATCTCCATTGTCAGTTTGGAGATGCTTTAACTTTCAACCCGTCTCCCTTTCCAAGAGCATGAAACTTCTGGAAAACTTGAAACACCTAATCTTTGGTTTTCAAGATATAAACCCAGAATTTACGTGAAGCATCATCAACAAAAGTAACAAAATATTTGTTACCGCCCATTGATTCAATTTCTATTGGACCGCAAACATCAGAATATACCAAATCAAGTATATTAAAAAAATTTTCAAACAATGTTTGAAATGAAACTCTGTGTTGCTTACCAAATAAACAATAGTCACAAGGTTTTATTGTTGTACTTTTGGCGAAAAATACGAGTGATTTCCTGACAAGAATCTGCAATCCCTTCTCGCTCATATGACCCATTCTTTTGTGCCACAAATCTAAATAAATCTTATCTTGTGCCACGTTCAATTCACCTCGGCATATTTCTATATTTGTCATGTATGTGCCACGAGCAACTCCTTTCGCAATCACCAATGATCCTTTGGTGAGTCTCCACTTTTGATTTGCAAAATAGTTCTTGTATCCATCTTGGTCTAAAGCAATTCTCGAGGTCATGTTCATCCGCAAATCAGGTACATGTTGCACACCCTTTAGAATCAATGTGCATCTGACATTTTCTTGATAAAAATGTCACCAATCCCCGCAATCTTTGAGTAACTTGTGTTACCCATTCTCACAATGCCGAAATTATCTGCTACATATCAACAAAAAATATCTCTTACCGGTGTGGCATGGTAAGATGTTGTTGTGTCAACCACTCATTCCGACTCTAGACCTTCCAAGTTCATGCATTTCTCTTCCTCATTTATGAAGAAAACAACATTATCATTATCTTGCATTGTAGCAGTTGTGTTATCGTCTTTCTTTTGGCCACTACTTTCACCTTTGCCCTTTCTTAGATTTGGGCTATCTCTTTTGAAGCATCCTGGTTGATCGCAATTGTAGCAATTTCTGGCTTTTAATTTGGATCAGTTCTTGGACTTTCCACGACCTCCAAATCTATCATAATTGCTTGAACTCCTTTGGTAACTCTTGCCTCTACCTTCTGTGATGAGGGTCTGTCCTTGATTTTCAGGCTTGTTTCTCATCTTCTCATTGAGTAGAAGAGCCGATGTGACGTCTTTTAACTTAATGGTGGTCTTACCATGCAGGATAGTTGTTTCCAAATTATCGTACGGAGATGGCAACGATTCAAGAGCACGATGGATTTATCTTCTTCCTCGATCTTTACTCCGAGGTTGACGAGCTGTGTGATTAGTCCGTTTAAAAAACAATATGACAAAAAATTTGTACCATCACCCATGTCTAAAGTGTATAACTATTTCTTTAGGTACAATTTATTTGTCAACGTTTTGGAGATATATAGGCTTTCCAACCTTATCCAAATACCACATGCGGTGTCTTCGTCAATGATGTTATTTACCACATCATCTGATAAGTGCAACCTGATTGCACTACCAGCCTTTTCATCCAAGTCAATCCGATCCTCAACTTTCATGGTATCAGGCTTTTTGGCATCAACATCTAGTACCTTGTGTAATCCTTGTTGGATGAGTAGATCCTTAATCCTTCTTTGCCATGTTGAGAAACCGCTATCTCCGTTAAATTTTGCTACCTCGTACGTTACTCTAGACGGTTTTAGTATAGCATTATAGACCGTGAATAATATTTCTGTGTACAAGCAAAAACTGTGTTCTGATACCATTGTTGGGAATAAATCCCCCACAGTAAATAATATTCATGGTAATAAAAGCAGAATAATAACGTAGAACCGAGATACAGTAATCAAGAAGAATAAAAGAGTGACAATGGCACCAAGATTTTTATGTGGAAAACCTTTCTGAATAAGAAAAAAAACCACGACCCCGAAAGGAGAAACTGATATCACTATAGCAAGGAATTTTACACTTTGTAGGTACGAGTAAAATATTCCAAAGACCAATACAACACTTAAAAGAAATAACCATTTTTGGATATTCCCATCTTACTACAATATCACTCGCACTCTCTATTTTTCTTACACACTATTTTCTTATACACTGTCTGTAATGTCTCGCTCTTTCTTTATCTCTTTGTTGGCGTATCCTTTTATAGGAGCAAAATACGTAGTCTAAAAGAATGATACAGGAGATATATTAATCTCCTCCACTTATTTTCAAACTTTAGCTCCAAGAAAGAGTTGTCAGCCAAGTTTTATTTCATAGGAACATGCCTATTGTTGAATAGGATAGACCCTACAATCTTAGTGTTGTTTAACCAAAAAATAGCAATTTCGGTTAAAGCTTATTTTTAGAAGTACTCGGGCTACTGATAATCAAGAAAATCTATATTCTCGTAATAAGAAAGGAAATTAGAATATGAAATAGCAAAGTAATCAATAGAAACCAAAAGAAAGTAATAATATTCCAATAATAATCAAAACGTGTCCATACAGATGACATTTCTTTCCCTTATATAGTGATCTCCAAGTACGACGTCTTTTACCTTTTATGACCGAGTCATTATGAGCATTAATGACAATAATGAAACGTTATAATTGGTAATTGTAACTGTTTCGTGAAGATTTTGTAACGTTTGTAATCATCCATGCTCATTAATTGAAGACCAATGAATCTGCCCTTTTTATTGTCTTGGTTCATTCCACTGGTGCCTCCTCAAATCGCTAAAGAGACTCAAGCAACCGTTTGTTCTCATCTCGTGGGTGTTTTGCTCGTATCTATTAAGACTCAGGTCTTTTTTAATGTTCTTCTCCAGCTGTCGCTTTTCTAGTGTTCACGTGTCTTGACATGTCAGCCACATAATTAATTCCACGTGTAATATTCATTTTCTCCAATATAAGTGTTAGTACCGTGTGGTTTTCTATATAAGCACTCGGGTATCTTCTTTCTACTATCTTAAACACCTTCAAATTTGACACATATAATATTAGGAAAAAGTAAGTCAAACCATGCACTAATACCCTTCTTCTTCCTTCCTTCCTTAGAATGAGTATTTTCTCCATTGCATTCATGAGCACAGTAATTTATTCTCTAAGTATAAAGGAATCAACTGCAATAGTTTGGCATGTAATATTTGCACTAAGTGTTTCTTTTTCTGGTTTCATGGTATCATGTTCTCAGACAGAAAATTACCTTAATGGCAAAGAATATCCAAACTCAGTTTCATTTCCAAGCACTTTCTTGTTTGGAACAGCCTCTTCTAGTTACCAGGTTTTTCTCTGCTTATTTCTACATCTTGTTTTATACAGTAGTTGAACTTTTTGTTTTAGGGCACTTTTAAAAAAAAATTCTTGTTTCTTTTGCAGTTTGAAGGAGCTTTCCTTAGTGATGGAAAAGGCCTTAACAATTGGGATGTTTTTACTCATGAAGTTGGTGAGCTTTAAATTACTACAGTCAGATCTCTCTCTATATATAATAGCATTATTATATAACAGTCATTTACTATAAAAGACTAATTTTTCTCGGAACTGATTTTATATTGTGTTATAATATATGTCCTCTATAACAATACGTCACTATAGCAGACAAAAAATATTGAAATAATCAAGGCTGTTACAAAGAAGTTTGACTATATATATATATCTAAATTTCTTCCCGTGTTTGGCACATTTAGCACCACCCCTCCACCCCCCTCTCCCCCTCTCCCAGATAATAATCAAGAATTAAAATATATGACTGGGGATCTGCTGCAGGGCACATAGCAGATGGAAGTAATGGAGATATTGCTCTCGACCATTACAACCGATATCGGGTACGCCTTTGATGCATCCGCTGTTTGTTTGTGTTTTTTGTCGTTATAATATTTGAAGTTTATTGACCTGACTAATTCATATACGTCCACTAAGAGGTCGTTTGGTAGCTGGTTAGAAGAAAGGTTATTCATGTATAAGGGGTAACATAACTTATACCATGTTTGGTAGACAATAGTTATTTTGTATAAAATTCTGTATAACTAATACCATGTTTGGTTGACATTTTTCAATTATGCATAAATAATACATGTATAAGTTATGAGTCAATCTGTGTATTATTTTATGCGGGGTAGAAGATGGAATAACTAATACATGTATTAGTAATACATGGATAAAATACTGAAATGACAAATTTACCCCTATCACTTTACACATAAGGCTTCCTTATTTCTCTGCCAACCCGTCAACAGGTTTCACTTGCTTTCACTTGCCAACTATATACCTTGTCTTCTCTCACTTTTAAAGAACAAACTAGCAAAAGCAAACTGGAGAAGCCACTAGAAAATGAAAATACCAAAACTAAGAAGTGAAAATCAAATATGTCTAAACTTCACATAGTTCAGTAGTATGACGAAGAAGTGAAAGTAACATCAAAGTTCCTAACTAAATTATTTCCTACATAAATGGAAAGAGAGAAAAAGCAATGCAAAAGAAGGCCAGGGGTATAGTTGTAAACAAGCATTTTACTTTAAAATTTATATAATGTATATCAATTTCTAATACAACAAACCAAACATTCAAAAAAATAATCTCTGCATAACTAATACCTGCATAACTAATCCCTGCATTACTTATCCCTGCATAACTAATCCCTGCATAACTAATACATGTATAACTAATACCTGCATAACTCTAACCGGCAACCAAACGACCCCTAAGGGAATACACCGCTCCTTATATGTTATCAATTTCTTATTAATTCATTGTAATTTTTCAATCTTTTCAATAATGGAATTTTGTTCATACATCCAACAGCTTGTACGTAAAGTATATTACTCGCATGTAGTACTATAAGCTATATGAGCAAAGCTAGTACGTAAAGTATATACTGTAACTGATATGTGCTTACTCCTTGTTACATTTTTTATAAACCACAGTGACTTTTTTGGTGCATTATTTAATGTTTACTGCAATTTGATTTAATCACAATGCAAATTTGACTTCCACTAGAGGCCGTTTGGTTTTTGGTCTTGGCGTTTGTTTTCCATGTTGCTAAAATTTTAAAATCTTTTGTCAATTCTTGCAAAAATTTCTGGAAAAGGATATTTCACGTGATTTTTAACAACAAACACCAGTGGACAAGATCTTTATATTAGTCATTGTCGTTGGAAATTTTCTTTGGTACAGAATTTGTGGACCAGTGAGGATTCCTATGTCAAACGAAAATATGTGGTTTCTGCTGAATGTTGTCCCACAAGCATAGTATTTGCGTGTCAGGTAATCATTGCGTAGAGCTATGCGGCATATCTTTTGATGGGACATTGAGGGTGCGTTTGGTACGAAGGAAAATACTTTCTGGAAAATATTTTTTAATATTTTTATGTTGGTTGGCTTAAATGTTTTAAAAATATTTTTCTCATGAATTAATTTTTCTTCAATTAGAGAAATTTTTTTTCTCTATCAAGAGAAGAGAAAATATTTTCCAAAACTCTTTTTCAACCTTCCCCACCAACCCCCTCCAATCCACCCCCATCCCCACCCTTGCCCCACCCCCAGTCCCACCCTCGCCCCCCGACTCCCCACTTTAAATAGAAATATTAGTAATAATACTTTTTTTTCATGTTATAAATAGAGTATTTTTTTTTCATTTCAACAAATGAGTATTTTCTTTTCATCATATAAGTCATTTTTACAAAAAAAGTACTTTCCTTTTATGATCTAGAAAAAGTTTCAACAAAACTAGTACTTTATTTTCATGTTATAGAAAGAATACTTTCTTTTCAACCAAAAAAAGAGTATTTTCTATTTAGTTATGGAGCACAAATTTCAACGTTGTTTTTGAGTAGAAAAAATAAGCAGCGCATTAGTTTCTTTGAGTTTGTGTGAATTTTTGGAAAATAAGTAAATCCTTCAAGAAAATCGAGTCCTGAAAACGTTGAGTTTTTTTTTTTTTTAGGGGGGGGGGGGGGTGAGGAGAGTAGTATAAAAGGCTATTTTCCTAAAAAAATATTTTCGGAAAAAGATTTCCACTCACCAACCAAACAAGGGAAAACAAGTGACACAATCACTCATTTTTCATGAAAATATTTTATAGGAAAATATTTTCTTTCATAGCAAACACACCCCAAGAGGTTTCCATATTTGCTTGTTTTCTTCAACCTGTCCCCTTATGCAATGATGTTACAGAAAAGTCGGCATAGGCCAAAATACAAGTTGTGTTGTACCTAGTGATAACAGTGTTTAGGACAATTTGCACGCAGCTCGTTTAATTTTGGGGGTACTTGCTATCTCTTACTAGTATATGCATCGAATAACTATATATGTCAAGGTTTGGACATATTAAAAAAATCATCAATGTCCAAATTTGCAGTTAAAAAAGTAAAAAGTTTGACTCTGAAAATCAAAATTATTACATATAAATCGGGACAAAGCGAGTAATATTTTTGCCTCCACTGAAATTTGATCGTGAGGACATCATAATTCTTCTCACTTCATTGACCACTAGGCTATACCCTTTGCTGGTTCTATTTTATTTGTTAAAATTGAATCTACATAAATGATCGAGTAAATTTCTCTAAATATGATTGCAAGGAAAATGACTTTCACCTATGTGGCATTCCAACTACTTGTCTCCTCTCTACACAGAATCTCATGGCCCACCCCTAACCCCTATTCACCTCACCACCCTACCTCTACGTCCACCTACACCTCAACCCCGCACCCCCACACTCGTCCCCACTTCCCATTCTCACCCGACACCCGAACACCCATCGTCACCCCCACACCACCCTCACCCCTACCCCCACCCCTCATCACCCCCAACCCCATGGCCCCACCATCCCAACCCTACCCTTTAGTATTTGTCTAGATTTTTTACAAAACGTTCCTGGAATAATATTTTTTACTTATCTAGAAAATACGTAATAGAACTATTTATTTTTCAAAAAAAGTATTTTTTATGAATTTTTTTCCTTTGTACTAAACTCCCCCTATAAGTAAATTGTCATTACACAAATTTGTGACTTTGTGAAGTCAAAATACATCATTGTGAAGATTTATTCGACGAAAATCAACAAACAGACATCAGAGAGATTGCGTAATTTGTATTAACAACTTGCTTATGACACAAAGAGAAAGTGTAATATTTCACAATAAGAGCTGAAGACTTAATTAGATGTCACTTTGTTGCTCTGAGCTAATCACTAATTCACCATTATATAAAAAATGCAGTAAGTGGATATACTTTTTGTTGGGCGTGTGATCGAATAAATTCTACATTGATAATTGAAAAGATTGAAAAGCTTCATATGAAGTATAAGGATACTCTAAATATTGTGTGACCTTTTTAAGTAAAACTATGCGCACTTGGTCCAAAGTGCCATGTTAAAATTATATTAAGGCTGATTGAGCTAGCCTAACAACTGGCATCAAAGCAAATGGTTCGGCATGATGAGTATGAAATGACGGAGTGACTTCATAAAGCTCGTTTATTACCTTTACCATGCCAAGGTAGCCTAGAGACACACGCGCACAACAAGAAGCTAGCTCCGGGCTTTGGTGGTTATAAATGCTAGCTCAGGTGGATGGCACAGTCAATCTCAAAAGTTGACCCGTGGATCGTGATATGGTCCACGTGAAACTTAGTTCGAGGATATGACTCGTGGATCAAAGGTGGTGGGCCAAGTGAAACTTAATACGGGCCAGTATCACACTTGTGTTACTAATTTAAGAGCTAATTTAGCAGCTTGGGATGAAGGAAACTTGCAAGATAGCAAGACTAATGGCTGTAAATCTTCGTTTGGCAAGAAGTTTAAGGAGTTGAAAGATCACTTGACTATGCAAGAATTCTTGATTTTTGGAAATAATCTAAGAATGAAAATTAAGGAGTCGAAAGATCACTTGATTATATGTGTGTGTGTGTAAAGAAATGCTTGAAATCCAATAATTCTAATTTTTGGAAATAAATGAAAACAGGAAGATATCAAGCTTATGGAAGATATGGGAGTGAATAGCTTTCGTTTCTCTATTTCATGGGCAAGAATTCTACCCAGTAAGTTACAACTATCACTTCTCTTGTCTCTATCTCATATTTCAGGATGTAAACTCCTCAATTATTGAATTTAAGCGCGTTTTTTACTAATTAATAACCCTTTTTGTCCAATAACTGAATCAGATGGGATGTATAGAGATATCAATATGGCTGGAATTCAGCATTACAATAAGCTGATTAATGCACTCATACAGAAAGGTAATTTCTGCTTATCTCATTGATTTAGTGACCTTTTGTTATGTTCACACTTCACCATATTTTGATTCATGAAAAGGGCAGTCCGGTGCACGAAGCATCCAGCATTCATGTAGGGTCCGGGGAAAGGCCGCATCTCAAGGGGTGTGATGTAGGCAGTCTACCCTGATGCAAGCATCAGTGGCTGATTTCACGGCTCGAACTTGTGACCTATCGGTCGCACGAAGACAACTTTACACATATTTTGATTCACAAAAAGGGCAGCCCGGTGCACGAAGCATCCCGCATTCACATAATGTCCGGGGAAGGGCTGCACCACAAGAGGTGTGATGTGAACAGCCTACCCTGATTCCACGGCTCGAACCTGTGACTTATAGGTCGCATGAAGACAACTTTACAATAGTCTAAAATATATGCGGGAAGTAAACCTATGTTGGCTTTGACAAATTCTTTTATTTGCTATGATTTTAGGGATCGAACCGTCTGTCACGTTAACACATTATGATATACCTCAAGAACTTGAAGACAGATATGGCGGTTGGCTAAGTCCGAAAATACAGTAAGCAGTTTGTCCCTTCTTATACATCGCGAAAAGGTAGCTATATATATATTATCAATGACCTACTCTGCTGAACAAAATCTGTTCTGTTTCCAGGAGAGATTTCAGTTATTATGCAGACATATGTTTTAAATATTTTGGAGACAGAGTTAAATACTGGGTGACTATAAATGAGCCAAATGTGATGGCCGTTCGCGGCTATAGATTGGGGACTTTTCCTCCAGCTCGATGCTCTCGTTCATTTGGTAATTGCAGTGCTGGGAATTCGGAAAAGGAACCCTTCATTGCTGCCCACAATATGATCCTATCCCACGCCGCGGCTGTCAGCATTTACAGAACTAAATATCAGGTTATTTCAACTGTCATGTTACTCTTGAGCATGTTAGTTGCTAAGGGATGGAATTTAAGTGGATAAATGATGTTATTACGCGGAGATTAGACGCGGCGGAGGGGGTTGGAAAGTTGGAAAGTGGTAGAGATTACAAGACAAAATGTAGACAATTTATCCTTTGGCCATTCCGGCTCCTTTCTGCATCTATCTTTTGGGTGATCTGATAGCTTAAAAGTTCTTTTACACAGTCAGAGAATAGAATTTAAGTTCTTTATTAAGTTCACCGTTTTATTTTGTTTTACTATCGTGAAAATAGCCTCTGCAGAAATGTAGGCAAAGACTGCGTACAATTGACCCTTGTGGTTCAGCCCTTCTCTCAACCCCGCGCATAGCGGGAGCTTAGTGCACCAGGCTACCCTTACTTCTGAGTCTTTTATTTCAATCACCCCTTAGACAAAATTGGTCTAAAGTATTAATATAACAAAGTTACAAAACTAGTAATTTTAGTTTGTTCTTTGCTGGCATGTAGGAAAGACAAGGAGGCATGATTGGAATTTCTTTAAATACTCAATGGTATGAACCTTTTAGCGATTCCTCAGAAGACAAATCTGCAGCTCAGAGAGCTCGAGCTTTCGTTTACAACTGGTAAGACTTCTTAATCAGTGCTTATATTTTATGTTGCGTGGACTCTTCAAAATGGCGTCGCACCCGTATCGGACCCTCCGAAATTACACTGCTTTTGGAGGATCCGACACGCACCTGGCGACATTTTCGGAGAGTCGGAGCAACATAGCTTATATTACCAGAAACAGAAGTGAATGAAAACAAGAAAAAGGAATGTTTTGATTAATTGGTATGCAGGTTTTTAGACCCTATTATATTTGGAAGATATCCTGAAGAAATGCAACAAATTCTTGGAACTAACCTGCCTGTTTTTTCAAACAATGATTTGAAAAAACTGAACAACGGCCTCGATTTCATTGGCATCAATCATTACACTGCTGCTTATATAAAAGATTGCTTGTACTCCGCCTGTGAAAATGGCACCTCTTGGTCAGAGGGTTCTTATTTTCGTACTACAGAAAAAGACGGCGCGTACATTGGTGAACCTGTAAGTATGATCAGTAGTACTAATCAATTTCTGTAGAAAATGAGGTAGCAGCAGTTTTGATACTGAGACATTCATTGATTTCTTTATCTTCTAAATGATTCAGACTACAATGGACTGGCTCTTTGTGTACCCTGAAGGAATGGAAAAGCTTGTGATGTACATGAAGGAAAGATTCAATAACACTCCAATCATCATCACTGAAAATGGTAACAGAAAAGCCAAAAGTTAACCTTGATGCAATTTTACAAATATTACTTTGTCATTAATTAAGTACTCTCCCGTCTCTCTCT